ATTCAATTAACTTGGCCAGTATTCTCTGTTACTTAGGAGTCACACAGGCTCCACAAGGGAGCAGTGACTCTATGGCCTCAACCTATTTTTCACACAAATGAAACCAAGGGCCAAGGAGGGCATAGGACAGAAAGACAGGCCCAGCCTCCCCACTGCACAGTGACTCTCATGGAGGTCCCAGAGCAGCTGTGGTAGTAACATGCCCTCTTCCAGGCTTTCCATGTAACAAGAGCTGAGAGGATGAAAATATAACACCTTATTAGCACAGCAAGCAAAGAGGCTGACCCTGAAGCTGCCTAACAGCATCTGCAAATCAATGTGAGAGCTCTTCTAACTACTGGCCACAGTAGCCTCAGCACAATGTAATTTCGGGCAACATGAAACAAAGGTAAAGGAACTGGTTATGAGGAATACAAGAACAAACCAAAATCAATCTGCACTCATGACATGCCAAGTTACCCTAAGGAGGAAAATATACTCAGAAAGAGCTTCAATAGAAGGTGGGCTATAAATAAAATAGCAGGAACGACAGTTTTCACATGAGAATGCCACAAGCCCAGCTGGTGTACACTTGCAATCTCAGCACCTGGGAGGTAGAGGCAGAAGGATGAAGAATTCACAAGTTCATCCTCACTGAAGTAGCAAGTTCAAGGCCAGACTGGGCTCCAGGAGACCCAGCCTCAAAAACAAAACAAAACAAATGACAACAAATCCCACAATTTTTAAAGGTACTGGGATGGATTAAGTTGTCCTGACTTGCATACTGTTAAGTCTTATCATAAGCTTCTACTCTGCTGTCCATGCTCCTGTTTGGCTGTGCTCTGGTTAGGCTGAGAGGTGGGTGGATGGGTAGCATCATGAGCCCTGAGGCTGGGGTCTGAGCTCTCAAGCCCTGCCTCTGAAATGCAAAGTGCAATACACTGTTTTATCTGCCAGGGTCATGTGTCAGGGTTATCAATATGAAGGGAACAGATGAAGAAACTGGGATATAAGTTCTTTTGAGATTGGTCTGCTCTGACAAAGTTTGATGGGATGTTGTTTCTGCTTGTCTGGACTCTATACTGCAGTTCCTCACATGAGTGAAGAACAAAGACATGAGAGGCCAATGACAGCACCCATTTTCCTGAAGGAAAATCTAATCATTCAACACAAGCCTACAGAGCTTGTACAAGTCAATGTCACAGATGTGTTCTGCTTGAGGAGGAAGCACTGGTCCTGTGCCCACTGTAAGCTGGGAACTTACTTATCCAAGACCACACTCTGAGGAGGTCATATGTAGTACTGAAGTGGGCTGAGAGTGATGAGAGGTCCAGACAGTACTTTACATCAAAGTTACTCTGTAAGGCAACTGTCTACACACTTCAGAAAAGGTAATGGTGGCAGTAGGAGTGGTGGAGTGAGGATGGAATTGAGTGTTTGCATCCTAGAGTAAAAAAACTCAACCATAACAGACAGTTAAAAGTCAGCTGAGCAAATTCAAACATGAACTAAACATAAAATAACACTATCAGTATTATCAACGGTAACGTTTTTCTTTCAGGTGCTGGAGGTGGAACCCAGTGTTCATGTTGAGCAGCTAAGCAGGTGCCTGAGCACTGAGATCTACCCCAGCCTTGGCAGATACTGCTTTCTTTTTAAAAATCTATCACTACTAGTGCGTGTGTGAGGGTACATGTTTGTATTGTGGAGCACGTGTGGAGGTCAGGGACTTTTAGGAGGTGGTTTTCACCTTCTGCCAGTGAAGGTCTTGCCAGGGCCCTGGTGAATATTCTTAAAGTGACAATGCCAGTATAGCCAAAAAGTATGAAGCTTCTTTCAACTTTTCAATAGCTTCAAACTGGCAAACCAAGAGAAAGGGCAGTGGGGTGGGGGAGGGGCAGTTACTGGTGTGGTGACACACACCTGTAATCCTAGCAAAGAGAAGGAAGCCAGCCTGGTATACAGACCAACATTCAGGATGTAAAAAACAAACAAACAAAAACCCCCAAAACCCAAACAAACAACAATGAAAAATTCAGACTGAATTCACTTTGTTTTTCTTATATGGTGATATGGGAGTCCCCTCTGTATGCTGCGAATACCACTGGTTAATAAAGAAACTGGCTTGGCCTTATAGGGTAGAACAGAGCTAGTTGGGGAGTGGGGGGGATTAAACGGAATGCTGGAAGAAAGGAGGCGGAGTCAGAGAGAAGCCATGGAGCCACTGCCTGAGACAGGCTTGCTGAAACTTTGCTGGCAGGCCATGACCTTGTGGTGATGTACATATTAATGGAGATGGGTTAAATTTGGATGTAAGAGTTAGCAAATAAGAAGTCAGAGCTAATGGGCCAAGCAGTGATTTAAATAACACTGGTTTCTGTGTGATTATTATGGGAGTCTGGGACGACAAGCAGCCTCCTACAACAAAAAAACCTTATGTGGAGCTGGGCCGTGGTGTCACACATCTTTAATCCCAGAACTCAGGAGACAAGAGGCAGGTGGATCTCTGTGAGTTTGTAGCCAGCCTGGTCTACAGAGTAAGTTCCAGGACAGCAAAGAAACGTCTTGGAAAAAACAAAAAACAAACAAACAAACAAACCCCACACAACCAAACAAACAAAAAACAACACCAAAAAACCCTTATATGGTAGCTACAGCTGAAGCCTGGGTCCTCTGAACAGAGACACTGGTGTGGGTTTTCACAAGATGGTCAGTGAATTCCTGATAAGGAGACTTGGTGAATACAATCTCTTTCCAGAGGTCAGGGGTCAAGTAGCTGTAGGTCTCTGCGATGGCATCAAAGGTGACCTTGGCAAAGTTGCCCAGGGTGACAGTGAAGTCTCTGGCTGATGTGCAGCAGTTATTAACACTGGCCATCATCAGTAACTTCTTGGGCACGGGAGCAGAGATTATGCCAGTGCCTCTGAGTGAAGGGATGAAATATACCAACACAAAGTCAAGATTCAGGTCTCTTGGAGCATGGCTATGCTCCAGGCACCACAATCTATGCCACTCATGTGGGTCTCCCTAAGCTCTGTGGTCCCTCCACGAGACAGGCTAGTTATTAGTGTTCACAATGCAGTGATGAACAGATGATAGAGCTGAGAATCTGATCCAAGCAAGGCCATGTGTTCAAAGGTTTATCACGACCCCAGAATACCTCTACTAATTAATATGCCTCTTTTTTTGACACTGTGCAGCTCTGGCTGGCCTGAACTCAGAGAACTTCCTGCCTCTACCTCTCAACTGCCAAGATTTAAGGTGTGAAGCACCCCACTTGGACCCTGCTTCTTAAACACACAAGGAGATGATGCTTCACAATCAGCAACAGCAGCTGCTTCTACAACATTGCAGTAAGATACAATGCAGTTAGGCAATCTGTATTTCAAACCAGTTGTACAAAATGTATAGTTCTGTTGTCAATTAAAGTAAGTAACTTAAAAAGGCACACTTTCAGAGTTTAGGGGCTGAGAAATATACACATAAAACAATGTCTTACTTAACATAAAGACCTAATAGTCTTTCATATGGGCTGGAGGGGTCAGTAGTACAACAAGGAAGAACGGCGAGGCTTTTCTACATCAGGATCACATAAACAGGAAGGTCTAGGAAAGAGATGATAGTGGGGAAGCAGAAATGAATGGGTGGGGACAGAGGCAAGAGATGATGTAGATCTAGCAGGCCTGGGATGCGATCAGATGAATCAGTGTCTGGAGAGACAGTGATGCAATCTGGTGGAGTTTGCAGAGCAGCAGCTTGGCTTGACAGTGACTGAAGGTGGACAAGCGTCAGGGTTGAAAAGGATTAAGAGGACACAGAGTCCCATGTTTGTGTATGCTCTGGAGGTGTTAAGAATGAGACACAGGACCTTGCACAAGCCAGGTAAGTGCTCTAGTATTGAGCTACACACCTAGCCCATGCCTCTCTATTTTCCACCTTAAATTTTATTTATTTTATGTGCATGGGTGTTTTGCTTCCATGTATTATCTACATACACGCAATGCTTACGGGGCTAGAAGACAGTGCTCCAGAAGGTATTTTGGAAGGTTATGAGCTGCCATGTGGATGGATACTGGGACACTCATAACTGCTGAGCATTGCCTGGCTCCCAAGTCTACATTCTTAAGCTCAACCAATAATGCTTGGGAATCCACACTGACAAGTACCTACAAAACCTCCTCCTCAAAGATCCCTGAAAGTAGCTAGGAGAAGAAAGAAAGAAACAATAATGTGAAACTGGAAGGCAAAGAGACATGTAAGAGCCCTAAGTCAGTAAAATGAAGCACCCACACAAGTAAAACTGTACTATCTTAAGAACATAAAAACTTAAGGCAACTTCTCTTTTTGTATCTCACACTGTTCCATGTACAAAAACCCAGTCACAGCCGGGCGGTGGTGGCGCACGCCTTTAATCCCAGCACTCGGGAGGCAGAGGCAGGCGGATCTCTGTGAGTTCGAGACCAGACTGGTCTACAAGAGCTAGTTCCAGGACAGGCACCAAAAACTACAGAGAAACCCTGTCTCGAAAAAATCAAAAACAAAAAACAAAACAACAAAAAAAACCCAGTCACATGATCACAAGATATTCAAGCACTATGATTGTTTTCTTACCTCAGAGCAGAGACCCTACCTGTACATGAGTCTTAGATGCCCGATCAGAATGCCAGGATTGGTCTCAAATACTTGTTCCTATTATTGAGTGTAATATGTGTTCCATATAAAGCCCTTACTCTGACCTCATGCAATCTACAGACCCACAAGGGGACACAAAACAACACAAACTACCAAAAGAACTAACCACACGCTAAAGCTATGTGAGGACAGATCTGAGGACAGAACTGCTCCCACATATTTTAAGTCTCCTTAGTGCCACACTAGCCTTCCGATTGAAGCTTCAGTGGTCAGATCACCCAGCGCCTTTCTATTAGCATCTCTCATTTCCAGAAAGTTCACAAATCCCAGCCCTCTTGGAAGCTCCCTGCAGGGAATGGAAGGTACTATTTGCTGTGGGAGATGCTTACCTGTGGCTTCAATATACTCAATGCATCTTTCAATAAAAATGGGAATTGGCTTCTCTGGAGTCACCACAGTTGTTAAGGGCACCCCAAAATAGTTACTCTCCCAGGTTGCCTTCGTGATGGATGGTCGGGGTTTGGGCTTTGGTTTCTGTCCAGGAAAGAAAAAAGGAAGCACAAAACAAAGTGAGTATCATAAGTATCTGCAAGGGTTCCAAAGAGGAACTGGCAGTTGGTAACAAAGTGCTGAAAAGATTTCAAGAGGACAAACAGATCCAAATTTGCTCATCTCCTTAATAGCATTTTCTAGCCTCCAAATATCACATAAGATACTGGAAAGTTGTCACACAGTCACACCTTTGGTGTGAGAGTGCATTATTAGAACAAAGATGTTTATAAGAAGCTGGCCAAGTTTACTCAATAAAGTAACAACATAATGGCATCCACATCCTCCACTGGGGACACATTGGAGTAAACAGGAAGTTTTCCAAATAATCTACATAATAATAAATGGTATATACTCAGAGATGGCTGATGCCTCGGAAAGATCAAACATGGGTCCAAAAACTAGTAACTTCCTCTTTCCAGAGAAGAGACAGCACATATTCTGTCAGAGTTGTCTCAAATGAGGATTCCCTTTGATACATTAGCCCGGGGTTAATTCCTGGTGTTTTCCACATTAGGAAAGGGTAAAGCCAACTAATCAAACAAACAAACAAAATAACATAACCCAGGCCCATGCCTATAAATTCAGTCCTTGGGAGGCAGGGGTGGGACCAGCAAGAGCACCAGGCTAGCCTGGGCTACAATGTAATTCTGTCTATTCTTTTATTCCTTACAAAGCAGTCAGCAGGGCAATGATAGCCACTGAGATTTTACTGTTACCAAACAAGTCCCACATACACTTCCTTTAAAATCTCACAACCTTTCACTTTTTCAAGAAAAAGAAGTCCATAGGCCTCAATGACTCAATTAGTGATAATGCTTGATTACCAAAGCCCATGCTATTTAATAGTAATTACTGAAATAGTCTGCCTCAAAAATCACTCAAACTGTGACCCCCCCCCACCCTCACTGAATTTAGTACTTTTATTTTGAAGCTTATATTTGGGGAGGGGGCATGTTTTATACTAATGGAAACTCCCCAAAGCCAAGGAAATGGGGTTTAGAATGTCGATCTTTCTTAAAGTATCTAATAAGAGGGCAACAGAATATAGGTAAATTAGAGCAGTGTGATTCTAATAATCAGTTTTCATTTCCAAGTGGCTCAGCCCAATGTAGCAGGGCAGATGACTCCCTTTAACAATGTGCATGGATTATAAATCTAGTTAGGGATCTTCCCACAAAACCCACAGAAGGAGACATCCAACTGCGAGGTCACAGGTCAATCAACCTTCCCCTTTTCTTCTGCCCATTTTCATTCATTTTAGTACTCCTTATAAGGGGAAAAGATACTTCCTGTTTAGTCTGAGATTCTTTGAAAACTTCCTGTGCAAATTAGAGGGGTGGGAGTGGGAAGTAGGAGTTAGGAGTTAGAATTAGAGAGGGTAGAGGCAAATTAAAAAGTATACTGGGCTGCTAACTGGTAATACTTCAGAAAACAGTCAAAGGGCAAAGAAAGCCCAACCATTAGCCTGCTAAATAAGTTAATGTGGAGGTTCATGGACCCCCACGTGGCTTGGCCCTGACAAACACACGCCACAGCTCTTGAGGTAAGCAGGTACTGACTTTAGGGAAAAACAAACTGGTGACCTGATTTTTCTTTATGGATAAATCTAGACTGTCCAGCAGTGTGTGATGCATGCTATAAGCCATACTTGTACAAAGCTCAACATAAAGAGTGTAAGCTTTGCTGCCAGACATTATGTACCAACAGGTGCAACAGTGGCATGGCTGCTATGGGAGTAACCAATTGCTTTCTGATTGGATCTGAGGCCTGCTCCACAGAAGATAAACCTGGTGACAATTCCAGCTGGAAAAGGCAGGACAGACAACACACAGAGACTCAAAACTTGTCAAAGTGCCAAGAATGAATGGCTGTTGAGTGAGGGCTCAGCTCTAAATGAACACTGATTATCAAACCCCACAAGGTCCAGAGGACATCTTGAAGAGGGAGACAGACAAAATGGAAGAACCAAAGGATGAGGGAAGGGTGCTGTCAAGTGCTGACTTCTGGACAAGACATATCATTGTGCTTACAAAGTAACAGCAGCTATAGTTACTGTATTACCCAAGACCTAAACAAGAGCAAACCAGCAATACTTCCAGCATGAATGGAGGGAGGTCTTCTAAGACTCCATCTAGCTGAAGAGCCTGACAATTGATGGCTGGTCTGAGAGGGAAAGTTAATTTTCCTTCTAGATATGTTGCTCATGTGCATGTAGGCAACACTAATTGGGCTCAAGGGTGTTTAAATAAAAAAAGAAAAAGAAAAAGACAAGAAAGCTAAGTGGGTTGTTTAGGGGATGAGGGGCTTGGTGAAGGTAGATATGATCAAGATACATTGTATGCATATACACGTGTGAGTGTGAGTGTGTGTGTGTGTGTGTAGGTGTAGGAAATTGTCAAAGAGGCTGCTATGGTGGTCCACACCTTTAGTCCTAGCACTTGGGAGGCAGAAGCAGGTGGATCCTCTGTCAGTTTGAGACCAGCCTGGTCTACATACAGAGTTCCAGAACCTGTCTCAAAACAACAACAAAGAAAAAAAAAGTTAAAGAATTAAAAAAAATTAAAAAGCCTGGAATGGCAGTAAGGTAAGGGGTAGGCAGATCTCTGAGTCCAAGGTCAACCAAAATTACACAGTAAAATTCACACACACCACAAAGAATTTAACCTGCTGGGGACGTGGTTCAACTGGTAGGACACTCGCCCAACTTGCATAAAACTCTGGGTTTGAAGCCCAGCACCATATAAAATCGGGTGTGGTGGTGCACACCTTTAATTACAGCACTTGGATGTGGAAGAAGAGAATCAAAAGTTCAAGGTCATCCTAGACTAAGTAAGAAGTATGAGGCCAGGTTGGTTTCTGTAAGACCCTATTTCACAAGAGAAAAACAGATTTCTATGTTTCAATCTGACTGATGTGGTTTGGGTCAAGTACTGTATCACCTCTATCTACCTTCCTAGCATCATCCTGGTCACATGGTGTTATGGGCAGGATCTTTCAGCTGATGTGTACTATTGTAGTCACATGGCCTTGGATCAAGCAATATTCTTCCTGTAAATGTTTCTGCCATTTAAAAGGTTAGTTCTGAAGTGTGAATAAACAGTGACTGACCATCTGTATTAAAACAACAACAACAACAACAACAACAACAAAAAAACCCACTTCCATCAATCCCACCCAATTTCTTGGTCAAAATGAAGATAATACTATTCCCTAGTAAAACTGAAACTTCCAAATAAAGTGCTGCTAAGGGAAAGAGTGGAACCAAAAAGCAGTAGGTGACCCTGATTCTCCTAGTCATCACTGGGATGCTTTCTAGCTTTAGTTCTAGAATCTAATCAAATTGAAACAATATACTCCTCAAAGCGATGCTCATGTGTATGCTTCCAAGCCACTGGCTAGAGAGGTTTGTCTCACTTAATTACTTTCTAAGCACCAGATCCCAAGTTTCTCTCTTTTTAGTGGTACCAGAGATTGAACCTAGAGCAGAGAAGATAGGCAAGCACTCCACCATTTAGTCCCCAGAATAGCATGCTTCTGTTGTTGGTCATACCTCCAGAATACCCCACTCCCACTAAAAGCATGCATACTAAGAACCCTGGGGCCACTGAGCTGGTCCAGCAGATAAAGGCACCTGCTATTAATGCTGAGGGCCTTTTTTTCTATTCTCAGGACTTACATGGTGAAGCAGAAAACCTATTCTTTAAAGTTGTCTCTCTCATCTCTATAGGCACAAGGCATGCCTGAGCCTACATAGAAAATAATGGAGAATGAGGAGCAAAAGTAGGAGGGGGGAAAGAAAGAAGGGAGAGAAGGACGGAGGGAAAGGAAAGGGAGGAACTCTGGAGATGAGTCCAAGGAAATCCTACCGAGGTGGGTCTGATTGCAGAACTTGTACTTTACAGCACTACAGTTTATATAAATAAGTTCTTGGTTTAGGCAGAATGAGCAAATGGATGCTGAGTAAAGTATAAAAGTACACCAACTATCTGGAAAACTTCTAAAGGTAATATATATTTGTCTACTCAAAATTTACTAGGGAAGTCTTTTATTTGTGTGTATGTGTTAGCTTCCTGTTTATTGCTGTGATAAGACAACAAGCAACCTGGGGAGGAAAGAGTTTTTACTTGGTTTACAACATTCCTATTACAGTCCATCATTTAAGGAAGTCAGGGCAGGAACTTAAGGCAAGAACCTAGATATGAGAACTGGAGCAGAGACCATGGGGAAGGCTCTTCCTGTCTTCTCTACTTTCTTTCGCTTATTTTGGTTTTTGAGACAAGGTCTCATTATGCAGCTAGCTAGCCCTGGCTTGCTTGGTGTACATAGCATCAAACTCAGAGATCCACCTGCCTCTGCTTTCCGAGTGCTCAGATTAAAGGTGTGTGATACTATACCCTACACTAGTTTACTTTTTTATATACCTGAGGATTACCTGCTTGGGGATGGTACTACCCACAGTGGGCTGGCACCTTCTAACAAGGAATGCCCTGTAGACCAATATGATGGGGCCATTTTTTTCAACTGATATTCTCTCTTCTTAGATGACTCTATCTTGTGTCAGCCTGATAAAAAACAAACAAACAAAAAAAAACAAAAACAAACCAGCCCAGGGTGTGGGTGTATGTGTGCCCACGATGACGGTGGTGTCATATTCCCTGGAGCTGGAGTTACTGGCATCTGTGAACCATCTGATGTAGGTGCTGGGAACTGAACTCTGATCATCTGATAGAGTATTAAGTGCTCTTGACCTCTGAGATTTGTCTCCAGCACCAGATGATGATGTTTATTATTATTCCAAAAGACAGAATCTTGCATAGTCCTGGGTGGCTTTAAGGTCTTGAATCCTCTTGCCTGTCTCCCTAACACTGGGACTATAGGCATGGGGCACTATCTTCAGCTACTATCAGGCAATCTCAAGCTGGAAAAAGAGCCCTAAAGCAGTTATGTTCAAACAGTTGTAGAGCCATCTACTAATAATAAGG